CAGGAAAAAAAAATCTCTTACCTGTAGTTCAAGTGGCTTTTCACTACTTTGAAGCAGAAACTGAATTTCGGAGACTCTTCTAGAAAATTCTGATGTTTGTTGTTCATGCACTTGCAACTCTTCCTAAAACACATAATTTTAAAGAGACAAATCTTTTTATCTGATACCTTCTTTTCTGGCAGCCATGGACTATTGCTGATCTACAGAAGCTCTCCGTGCCTTAAAGTTTTCCTAATCGTTAGTTTTTCACAGAGCCCTGGGAGATTCCAGCTGAGGCTTGGACTCAGGGAATCATCTGAGTTTTAAGACAGCAGAGAGGGGAAGGCCTGTGTCCCAAGGACCCTGGCCAGTGTAACGGCACTGTTCCATCCCTTAGCTATGGATATGTAAATTGTGGCACCAAAATTTTGGCAAAAATTGGACCAGAGCCCAACCACTTATAATCTTTAACTTCAGATTTTTATACAACCTGTAGTTCAAGATACTTAAAGTCTACTGAAGTGGTTTGTTTGTATTTAGGGAATATGGCTTTACTTTATAATTTATCAGTGAAACTGGACAATCATCCCACAGTTCAAAGCTTTTTCCAAATGTACAAAAAGATGTGAATTAAAAATTGAATAAAATATTAAGAATTGGGATAAAAGGAGACTCGAAGCCTTGCCTTGCTGTACAACAGTAGTTTTATATTACACTGAAGCACATATAATTGTCCATTTGACTATTTGCTCACCTACGCCATTTTATATGGTATAAACTAATAAAATGGAAATGAGGCAATTAGAAAGAATTATTTCTAGGATTAAAGGCAATAACTCTGATTCATTCCAAATGCTAAAACCTAAGATTACTGTTTTAAAAGGAGCCTTAAAAAAAACAAAAAAACCAAAAAACCACTTTGTAAAGATACTGATGTTCTTGGGTCCTACCCTTTAAGGGTCTGTGCTCATGAATTTGGTAAGGGGTTAAGAAGTCATCTGCTTTATAAATAAAGTTTTATTGCAACCCAGCTACTTCCAGGACTCCTGTACTACCTATGAGCTTCATGCGACCACAGCAAGGTTTAACTGTTGTCCTACATGCAGGATGTTCCATGAAGCTAAAATATTTATTGTGGTCCTTAAGAAAACTGCTCCCGAGGTCTGGACTACCTCCTGGGAACATGTTGTCACTTTCTGCTAGGAGTTCTGCTAGGAGTTAACCTTTTTTATACTACATATCCCTTTGGAAATTTGACAAAATTTACTGAAGTTTGCAAAGTAATATTT